AGGATCTTAGAAGTGTTCACACCTGCTGCTCTGGTACTGCTCTCCCACCCCAAGGTTTCTGCCACTAACCACAGATTCTTGTGCTGCTTTTCAAGCTAACTTTTCCTTTTTTTTTTTTTTTTTCTCTCAAAAGGCTCTCAGTTATCTAATTCTCTGGTTACTGTTTAATCTGGGTGCTCATTGTCTTAAGCAAGCTTTGTTACTGCTAATTTCCTCTTAGTGTTATCAGATTTTGGGCAAACATCCTCTCAAAACATGCCAATTTTGGGTACTCTGTTCACACACACTATTTACACTTGCATTCCTACCTTGTCATCTGTTGTTATCCAGGCCAGGTTACCAAAAGGGGGCATGCAATTCCAGTACAAAAAAACCCCAGCATCAGCCCAGCGAAAGCAAAACTAGTGGACATGCAAATAGAACTGTGTTTTTGCATCCAGTTTTCATTTTGGAAACCAATTCAGCAGACTTCATGTGTGGAGAGGTTAATCAAGTATAAAAAAAATGAACTCTAAACTACACAATTCTCTCCAGATTTGTCCACTTGAGGCAGCACTGCTTGGCACTGTTTGTTGTAATCTCTTTTACTTTGAAAAAACAGACAGTTCAGGAAAACTGCAATAGTCTGTAGAATATGTTGAAGACTTGCTGCTACTCAGATAATATCCATGAGACTTGTTGAACATAGCAAGCTGTGTTAACAACAGAATTGGAAATGGCTTCCAGGACACAGGTTTGTTAGCTATTCTTACCTCATTGGCTTCTTTATGGATGCTTTGTATTCGTAGTGTTTAGGAACTAGTGGTGTATGCTGCTGCATACAAACTCTCACAGCACCGTGCCAATAAAAACTTTGGAGTTGTCTTTTTTCCTTATGTCTGCCTACTGCAAAGATTTTGTGGGAAGCTGCCAGCAGCTGGATATTAGCATGTTTGGATGTTTGTCCTTGAGGAAGAAAATGCTGTTTAACTTTACAGCAATTATGTTTACCAGTATATGTAGCCCACATATATGTTTGCCCGTGCCCTCTGTCTGCTGTTTTAGAGCCCAGTCATGAAGTCACTGATCATGCTTTTTGCATCCAAAGACCAGTTTAATATAATCTAATTCTTTGGCGAGACAGAGTAGTAGGGAATTGTTTCATGGTGCTTGTGCTGCTTCTCTATCATGGAGCAGGGATAATTTGAGGAATGGTCCTGACCTCACACTGCCTTATGACTAGAGGAAAAATTTCTCTTGATATGGAATGCATCACTGCATCATGTGTAGGTTTTTTGTTCCTGAGAAGTTTTTCCTCATCTTTTTAAGATTAGTGTCCATTTCCTGATCCAACTGGTTTTCAGATGATGAAAGTTTGCAAGCACAAAATTTAGCAAATGCTTGCCACAGATGGTGATGAGACTTAAAGCAAGAGTTGATCACCATCTTCATGTTACAGTACAATTAGAGCAAGATATTAGTTGCAAGTCACAATTTTATCTAGATTACATCCAGGTGTTGGACTTCTGTGGGACTTGTGAAAAGGTGCCCTTCCCAACCCTGGCATCAGTAAAGAAAGATTAAAGCCAATTCAGTAATGCTTCTGTTGTGATCTGACCCTCTATGACCCAGGCAAGTTAAATTACTCAAAGCCTGACAGAAACAGGAATAACAACATAGAACTTAGGACCTGGAACTAAAGGAGATACTGTGGTGTTAAAGATGTGCTTTAGAAACAGGAGTTAGCCACTGAGGAAATTGTTGCACTGTGATTGCTCAGAACAGCTGGTCAGATCCACACTGTAACATGAAAATGATCCAAGAGGCATCAAATATGAAGAAGTTTTGGTTTCAAAGGGTTTGCTAACTTCTCTAAAAGGCTAACATGGCAAAGTGGCAGCTGTGGCTTACTGCATAGGAGTTCTGAGGTTGTGGTAGGGGGGCAGGAGCAACAACACTAGAGTCTGTAATGTCATCTCATGGAAGACCCAGAAGTTTTATTTAAGAGAACAACTTACTAGGAGAGTACAGCAAGTCTATTAAACTTGTCTTTCACCTAAATATATGTCAGAAGTTCCTACTGGTAATGAAAACTGGGCTTGTACATGTCCTTTCACACCAGACTATAAAACATCATTGTAAATGTGGAATAGGTTTTGGAAATTATATAAAACAGAAGTCTTTTTCCCTTGCCACAAACTTAAATGATGTAACAGCAATTATATGTAAATGCACACAATTGCACTTCTAACACTCCTACCTCTGTGCACAGTGAAAACCCTAGCAACAGGTTTTCCAGATGCAGATCAAGGGAAGCACTATTGTCCACAGGCTTAAAACCAAGGAAAAAATAGTATTAGCATTTAAGAGGGTTATGTTCAAGCATTCAGTTTTTAGGCAAATAAAAATAAATATCGTGGTATACACAGAACGTGGGTTTGAGTATGGTAGCCATGCCTTTTGAAAAAATTCCAGAAATATCAATACTTGTAATTTTTTTCAGTATTATGGCCTCATGTTTTTCTTTTAAATACAAAACACACATGTTAAAAAAATATTCTTTCATTATGTGAATGACTGTTGGAAGATGTTTCTGAGAGCACCCAGCAGGTACTTCATCCTATCAATAACCCCTTACCACATCAGAGCAGGTATATTTCCTTTTTGAGAGTCCCTTATGTGTTCAGAGGAACAACTGATTCTCATACAGTCTTGTTCCTGGTGTAAGGCAGAGCCAATAACTTTGTTCTGGCAGGCACAAATGCTTATGCTAATACCTAGGGATTGATTCTCATCTTTCCTAAACACAAACAAACAAAACCAAACCAACAATACACCTTTGATAAAGGAAGTGTAGCTTTTTACTCTTAAAATCTTCTCTATATAAAGGAAATTTCCAGTGAAGAAATCTACTTTGCTAAGTCATTGGTGCTATTAAAGTGTAGCACTCTCAGGCAGTTTGGGGACAGGTAATGGTTTGCAGAACATTTAATTTAGACAGTTTTTCAAGAGCACTTGGGTTTTGGGAGGGCTGGGGCTAAGAGTGGAAGGTTATGCTTCTTTTAACTAAATGGGACTACTATGACCTGGCGGTAATGGGTGACCACTCTGAACTGAATCAGTGGCCTCGGCTAATTTTAAGCACTAGTTCAAGACCTTAGTTTAAGTCATACAGGGTTCTGACAGCCCAGTGGGCAGGTATCTCTAGCATACAACACACAAAGTCATGTGCCAGAATAAAGTTATTTTTCAGTGAGAGCTTCACTGATTCACAGGCTTGTAGCAAATAGGTTTGGCATCTGGGGTGTCTCACCTCTCCCTGTTTCTGGCTTGACTCCTTTCCTTGTCTAGCCACCTCCCTTGTTGCCCTGTGCAAATGGCCCTTTTTCTATGATTGGTCAGGTAATGCTAATTTTTATGATCAGGACACTTTTTCAAATGCTGTTTGCAATTCAGTATACAACTTTTTAAACAAACTATGCAAGCATGAAAACATTTTTTAAAAAAACTAACATTTATTTCCTCTGAAAGTCAGCTTTTGGCAAAAAAGATTAATTAAAGTTTAAGAATATCCTTTCTTCCCCTTTAAATCAGAAAACATCTACTAGCAATCATTTCAGTCTCAAAAGCTATACAAGGATTGATAACTTTAAGGGAAGTCTGGAGTTCTGTCACTTCCTTAACAAAGAGAAATCTGGGTGACATTCATCTACTGGCATGTCAGTGCAACAATACATTCCTTCAAAAGTTTTGCGTGTGGCTTTTGTGTTATCCATAAAACATTTTATTAGAACTGTTAGATAAGAGAAAAACAAGGATGTGGAAAAAGTATATATCTCCCTAAACTTCTTGTATTATATCATGTATAGAATTAACTGCTATTAAAAAAAAAAAAAACAGCTTCTCCAGCCTATCAGTTCCCTTATTTACATTTATCTTTTTTACAATCTCTGTTCAGGTGCAACTTTCTTTACTTGTCTCTGGGACCAGCTTCATTTGTGCCATATCTGAATCAAAATCCTTTCCCCATCTTCATAGTAAGTGGTTGAGAAAAATACATGGCTTGAAAATAAAACTGATTTTCCTTCCACCCTTGTGGGGGGAGTAACTTGAAAAGAGCTAGACATTTACGTTTCCAATTTGCAGCCTACTTTACTCTTTGTAGCCTGGCACATGTGCAGTAGAATATTTATTAAGTTATGAATTACCCTATTATCCCAGGTGCCCTGCAAAGGCAAATGCAATCACCTCCCTGCTCTGCTGAACACTTGAGCTATTGAACTTCAGGCTGGGTTGAGAGCAAAACTCAGCCTCACGCTTGGAGAAGTCCAGGGGCGGATGGTGGTTCCTCTACTGCCAAACTGTCCTATGGCATCCTTAGCTGATGGCAGACTGGGATAGATGCCAGTAGACTTTTTTGTTCCATTTTCCTTCTTTAACTGGTTTTAAGGCTTTTCATTTGACAGGCAGACAAATATTTGGCAGCTGGGTTAACTGAAGCATAGAAAGAGGCTCTTTGAGTGCTTTATGAAGGTATTTGCAGCAGATAAATGGCTAAAATAAACAATACATAAAATTTTCCACATACAGTTAATTTTAAAAATAACCATTCATTTTCTGTCCCTGTTTTCATCTTTGTTCTAGTGGATGAATTCATGAACACAAATGCTAATGCTGCAAAAGTTGATATACAAGTCAAATAATAAGCATCCACGTGACTCCCATTGCATTTACAAATATTTGTGTTATATTGTGTAAAACAGTCTTTGTTTTCTTTGCTGCGGTATGTCTTACCACAGAATATGGAGGCAACCCATACATCTTCACACTTATGTTTTTGTGCTTCCCGTCCTAATTCTGTATTGAGGACCTGCTCACCTCCAAGTCATCTAGTATTTTTATTATTTGAAGATAGTGATGTTGTTACCGCTTTCTTTCTGGGTTGAGATAAAGCTTAATATTGAAAAAAAAAAAAAAAGAAGCCTCCGAGGAAGGAGGAACAAACAACAGAACAAGCCAGGACCAGGGTTACAGAAGCTTCTGGTTGATGGGAAGCCAGAAGCTCTGTAAAAGAGAAACAGATAAAGGTTCCCCACTTAATTATCAAATATGTTTACCTGCAATACTCCACCCCACCTCCAAATAAAGAGAGTAGCATCAGAATTGTAGCTTATGCTTCTTTTTTCAAAACCTATTTTGAAATGTCTGTCGATATTTCTATTTGGGAACCAAAGACACTAAACCTTAAGTAAGAGCATGAAGATTAAGACAGAAGATAAAATTCCTGTAATCAACTTAATGGCCCTTTGCTGCACTCCTGGTCCAGTACAGCCATGACTTTCTTGTTCTGGCAGAATCCTGAGCTGACCAGAGAGCTCCACGCGTCTCACCAGGGCTGAGTGAACAGCGGGGAATAACCTCTTGTAGCAGCGCTCCAGAAGAGCTGGCACCACCCTTTGGAATGCACCACAGATGCTGTTGGCCGCCTTTGCCACAAGGGCGCATTGCTTGCTCATGTTCAACCTGGTGTCTGCCAGCAGCTCCAGGTCCCTGCAAAGCTTCTTTCCAAGCGGTTGGCCCCCAGCCCCCTGCATCGGTTCCCATCAGCTAATTTCTCCAGCTTGGTAAGATCTCTCTGAACACCAGCACAACCATCCAAGGTATTGACTGCTCCATCCAATTCTGTATCAACTGCAAACTTGCAGAGGGTGCACCATCCCATCATCCAAGGCTTTAATGGAGGTGTTAACCTGCACTGTGTCCAGTATTGATCTCTGGGATACACCACTAGTGACTGGTCTCCCACTGGACTTCATGCCATTGATCACAACACTGAGCCCAGTGGCTCAGCTAATTTTCAGTTTCCACTATCTAGTCAGTGCTTCATCAGTTTCTTTATGAGAATGTAATGGGAAACAGCATCAAAACCTAAAGTCAAGATAAGCAACAACCACTGCTCTCTAGCAGCCAGTAATCTCACTGCAGAAGGCTCCTAAGTTGATCAAACATGATTTCCTCTTGACAAATCCCCTATGATCCCCGAAACACCTTTTTGTCCTTCATTTATTTGGCAATGATTTCCAGAATGGTGCATTCCACCAGTTTCCCAGGGATTTAGGTGAGGCTGACTGGCTTGTAATTTTCTACATCCTCCTTTTTGGCCATCTTGCAGACATGAGTTAGATTTGTTTTCTTCCAGACCTCAGGAATCTCTCCTGACCACACGACCTTTCAAAGGTAGTCAAGAGTTGCCCCACAGTGACACTGGCAAGCTCTGTCAGCATTTGTGAGTGCATCCCATCAGGTCCTCTGAACTTCTGTAAGTCTTGTTTAAATGTTCCCTAACCTCATCCTTCTTTACCAACAGTAAGTCTTCCTTGCTTCAGACTCCCCACTGGTCTCTCAACTCTTGCATATTTATTATTTACATTTGAGTTTAATCAGGAGCTCCTTTTTTATCCCTGGGGGCATCCTGCCACCTTTGCCTGATTTCCTGTTTATGAGGACTGAATCTTGAGTTTGTAAAAGGCAATCTTTTAAAACCAACCAGCTGTCCTTGGCCCCTCCTCTTCAGGATCATATCCCAAGGAAGTCTTTAAAAAATAAGTTTTCTGATTACATGATTGACATCTGTATAAGATACATAGCAGATCCTATATTAAAGGAAATAAAAGACACATAGACCTGATTTGTTTAGAAGGAGCCAATATTGCTTTGGCTGGAAGGAGTTGCACTTCACAATTGTGTAGGATTGTATTAGAATTCTTTAGGAGCGCTGACAGCATGCAGATAAAGCACTGATTGATATGTTCCCTTAGGGTTTCCAAAGGTATTTGAAAAATCCTTCACTGCAAACTTTTGAAAGGTATTAAGCAGCCACATTTAGGAGAGAAAATCCTGCACTGGTTAAGTCAAAAGATAGGCACGGGGGTAAAAAGTAAAGTGTCAGTTCTCTCAGCTAGAGAAGGTGTCCACTGGTGTTTCAGGGGATCCTGTGCTGCCCAGTACATCCATAAATGAAGTGCAAGAGAGTGACCCATAAGATAAACAAATTTTTTGATGGTGGAGTTATTTTGGATGTTAATTACAAGGGCCAACTACAAACTGGTAGAAAGAAATTCAAGGTATATGCATATAAAGTGAAGCAAGCAGGCAAAATTATCCTCATCACATAGAACCAGGGATTCTGAGCTATTAGGGTTGAGATGTTTCTTGATTAGTATTAACTCAGAGCTCAATAGCAATCAAAAAATCCTCAAAGCAAATCAAACCTTAGAAGTTACTAAAAACTAGAGACCATCCTTATTACAGCAGAGTATGATGTGCCTACATCTTGAATGCTGTGCAGAGTTCTCTCTCACTCGCTATCAAAAGAGAACCCTGAAAAACTGACAGACATCTGCAGAGCTGATTATACTTCAAGAGTAGGTCTTGGCCATCCACTATCATTCTGTCAAGTACAACAGAGAATTTGAAGGGTGCTTGATTTTTCACAGAGACTCAAGTAGCACTTGTTGATGCTGAAGGATCATTAAGGAAAAAAATAGCAGTTTTCTAGCAGTATAAGCAACCAGCTACCTAGATTGGCAAAATAAATACAACACATAAGCATCCAGGAACTACTAACAAACTTCAATTCCATTTTTTATTATATACTTTTGAAAACTGGAGAAGCACTTTTATTTAAGGCTTGATGTTAAGATAAGGCATGTCAATTGGCTTTATCTAATATTTTATCTTAGATGCCCTCAGCTAATCATTTCAAAAGGTAACTGACTTATCATAATAACTTCTTTAAGATATCTTCTTTATTAAAGTAAGTTATGCTACACACACAAAAAAAGTTCTGGTTCTATAGCATAATTATTTTGACAGAGAAAACATGGAAAATATTTTCCAGGATTCACCTTAGGTTTTTTGATTCCAGCCAGCATTTTACAGTTCCGCTTAAGGGGGACGGAAGACCAAGAAATAGTTAAGCTTAGATATGCTTTATAAACCATTAATTTCAATTACCAACCCAAATACCATAAAGACCTACAGAATCATCTCAAATTCACATAGTTGCTCATTTCCAGGATTTCACGGGGCTAAGAACAGATGTGTGTCAGAAATCAGGAAACTGGCTCAATTCCTTGGGGATTTTTTTTTTCCAGAATGGAAGCAAGGGGGAGGAAGGGTAAAGAAGAAAAACAATTTGACTGAAACATCACTCTTTCTCCTGTCTTAAAAAGAAGCAGAGTCTTTGAGCAGAATGACAATATCAGCTACAGCAGTTGGCCTCTGATAAGGGCTCAGATGTACAATTATCAGTTCTGATAAATCATGGATCAGAGCTCTTTGTCATCTGCATTGCCTACAGCACTTCCTTTCCCAGACACATTACAGCCAGATTAGGAAAGATAGTAGATAAGACATAAGCAGTGCAGAGGATAGTCCAACGGCAAACACTTTGAGTACCAGCAGAGTATCATTATTACTGCTTTAAGCAAACTTTCTTTACAGTACTTCCAGTATCTTGTCTAATACTGACCCATGCATTATGAAGCACAAATAATCCTCCTTTGACCAATAATTTTTTCCCCGATTTTTTTATTTTTCTAACTCACCCTGTACCTCAAAAACTTGGTAACTTTCTGCTCTGCACAAGATGCTCTTAAAATGCTTCAGATATTAAAGTTTGCAGTGTTCCAGCTAGCAAGTTGCAACTAACACCTCCCTCGTAGCAGGGAGGTCTTATAAAAGTACAGGTTGTTAATGTATCTTCTTACTCTTAATAGCCTTAGACTGGCAAAAAGTTTCCTTATTTCAAGATGTATATCATCAGTTCACATTTTCCATATCAAAACCAGCATACTTACTGGAATTAAGTACATCCAAGAACAAGGGAAAAAAAACCCCACTGACACTCTGTATTTATTTTTCTGATTTGCGATACATACTCATTCCTTGGTAAATGGAGAGGAAAAGCTCAAATGCACAACCCAAGCTAGTGAGGAACTATTCATATCTGACATTTTGAAAATACCGAAAGGTATTAGGTATAAAGAACCTTCCAAAAGCAGCTCCTTAGCCCCTTTTTTTGTACTTCACTTACTTAAAACCAACTATTTTTTTTTGCACATCACATTCCCCAGTTTCTCCCTGAGCAAGACAGCACAGAACAGATCAGCCTGAAGAAGTTGTATCTGCCAGTGTCTTGATCCTTGTGTCTATTCCCTCCCAAGGTAAAAGCCCACAGTTTTATTAAATCTCTTTATTTATAGTCTTTTTATATCAAAACAGTTTGGTGGTGTTTTTTTTTTAGTATAACAAACCAGCAACAAAACCTTTAGAACACACAGGGGCTAAATTAATTATGTTCAGAGAAAGGGTTAAGGAAAAGAAAAGTTGACAAAATAAATTTAAAGTGTCCCGAGTTTTCCTAGAGACTCTGTTTGAGGGCCCTGAGGCTGGGAAGCAGCTGGGCTGCACTCAGGCGCTCCTCTACATTGGCCTTCCAGCAGCAGCTAATAATACTTTGGAGTTTCTGGCCCAGTGGTGACTCGTGGAAAATAGCAGCAGCCAGTGAAGGGCGTAAGTTGTAGGCTACCACAGCATAGAGCACGTGCTGCCGCTCTCCCAGGTAGGGCTGCTCCCGCATGACAATTTGCCAGAGAGTGATGGCAAACGAGTAGATGTCTGCTTTGGCAGTGACCCTCTCCCCCTTGAGGAGCTCAGGGGCACGGTGTGTGTATGTGCCCCCTTGCTGGCAAACATGGGGGCTGTGGGACAAGCCCTCCTCCAGTTTCTGGGAGCACCCAAAGTCTCCAATCTTGCACACTCCCTGCTCAGTGATAAAGATGTTTGCAGGCTTCAGGTCCAAGTGCACAATGTCCTGTGAGTGGAGAAAGGCTAAGCCAGTCATGATGTCACAAGAATAGCACACAGTCTCTTCCATGCTCAGGGCCTTCCTTCCACATCCTCCTTCATCATCCTCACCCTGTCTCCACGTATCACCAGTGCCATAAATCACATGGTGCAGGGTGATGCTGCCCACATACTCCATAATGATGGTGCCCAGGCTGTTCTCGCTGGCTGGGGCACACGTGCTGGCAGCCACCACACGTACCACATTATCATGCTGTAGCCAGGCTACGTTCAGCTCAGCCCAGAAGCTCTGTCGCGATGCCAGCCGGTTTTTGCTGCTTTTCTTCACCTGCTTTACAGCCACGGTTGTACCACGGTAGGTAGCTTTGTAGACAGAACCAAAGCCCCCAGAGCCTATGGGCTGCAGGAGGCAGAGTTGCTCCCAGTCAATGGAGCACCAGGCCAGGCGTGGAGGCAAGCGGCGAGTCCTGACTGAAGGAGTTCCCCCCAAAAAGCTTTTGCTGTCTTTGCCAGGGATAACTAAAGGGCTGCTGCAGGGGCGCAAATCTGCAGATGGGGAATACTCAAAAGAAAGGAAACAATTAAGAGGAATAGGTGATGGCATAATAAGATGGAGAAAACCAGAGGCAGTTAATAAGACAGAAGACTAGAAAAATTTCCCCAACAGAAAGGACTCTACAGTGCCTTCCAAAGCCTTTTATCCTCCCTTCACCATTCTCCCTCCCACCCCCAAATGAGCTGCATCTGTCTCAACTAGCTGAACCAAATCTGTCTCACCTGGAAACATTCTTCTCCAACCCTGAAGCAAATCTCTAGAAAGTCAAAGCAAACGGATTTAAAGCTAAAAAGTTAATAACTCATAAGTATTTCACATCATTTCTAATCTCAAAAAGAAAGATGTTCTGCCCACTGAATGCCTCTAGTAAAATGCCTCAGGAGTTAATAAAGCAGTGACTAGTGAATGCATTTCACCATGGCTCCAGGCAGGAATGATCAGCATCAGGTGCATTAAACAGCTCAAAGTCTTTGTCAGTGGAAGTAACTGAAATGGTGAGTGCTAACGTTTGATGAGGCTACAGCAGGCATAACTAAATATAAAAGTGCGTTTGTAGAAACCTACCACTTCAACATGACTGGGACAAAGGGACTGGTTTGGCTGCTCAGTTCTGCCCATGCAGGACAGCAACCTTAATAGCAGCATAAATACAAATGATTGCTCCATATCATCCTTTGGATATAGTAACTAGAATTATATATAAGTACTTGGTAATCTTCCCATCACACTCCATGCAGTTACTAGAGGTGTGTATTTTATTTCTGGATCCTCCTTTGAAAACTTACTGCTGAATTTACAGAGCTGTTCTGGCAGAAATAAAAAAAAAATGTAATTTCGCCTTGGTGTTTCTTCACAGGGGCTTTTGGAATTTTGACCCTGCTTTCACATATTCACAGTGGTCATTCTAACTGCCATAGTGTTCGGTACCTGCTGTACTGCCCAGGTATCAGAGCACACTTATGGAACCTATACAGCTAAGGGCTTTTGAATATTCTAGTAAGTAACTTTCTGTACATGTTGACAAGCATCTTGGAAAGACTGGGCCTCATTTCCCACCTCCTCACCCTTCAGAACCTTCCTCTGGATGTCAGCTTTGTTGGTGTGGATCCTGCCATGGGACCTCAAAGATTAGCAGTGCCTGTTTCTCCAGAATTTACCTCTGGGCAGTACTGGTTCTGCAGGCAGTTCCTGCAGAGTCTTCCTGGTATTTTCTGTTTTCTTTCTTTTGCTTCTCTGGATAAGATGCAGCACAGGTCACCGGGGGAGGTTTCAGGGGTACTCAGAACATGTTCAAGCAGAACTGGAGTGTTCTCCACTTTGAGATGGATTCAGTTGCTCACCTCAACAGGCAAACCTGATGTCCAAAAGGCATCTTCTGATCCTACTTGAACTCTAGAGGGTGAATTCATTCTGTAGCAAATCAGTGATGGAGATCTTCCCCAGTACTGAGACTATCAGGAGAAATTTGTCACAGCAATTCACAGGGAAGCAAGCTTGGATCAGAGATGAGCGTGAATGGGAAATTTGGGTTATCACCTGGCAGTGTGTGAGACAGACAGGCAGTGAAAGAACTTATAAACAGGTGCTAACAGGAGTTGTTACCAAGGGAGAGTGCAAAGACTTAAGCATGGCAAAAGGCCTCTCAGTGGCCCTGGGTACGACAGTTCCTGCAGATGAGACTGGTTGACAGCACAAGGCTCTTCTTTCCTGGCCCCTCCCAGAAGAGACTCTAACAGTTCAAGAGGCCCCTGGACCCCTCAGGTGCTATCAAACCCTGTGAGCTTTCTTTGTACAGTACAAGCCAGCCAGGTAATCCCCTGTTGCTGCCTGCTCCTTGGAGCAGCTCTCTGGTTTGAAGCACTGCTCAACATCAGTTACACAGGGTTGTTTGGGGGTGGGGGGAGGACCAGAGGATCTTTAGTGTATTTACTTTCCTTTTCTGAGCAGCACTGTGATGTTATACTTGTAAATAAAAGTCTTCACTTCCAATCTTTGCAGAGAATGTTTTCTATGCAGGTGAGCTGTGATGGAAACATAAAGCTGCAGAAAGCTGATGAAACTATATGGAAGAGAGGAGAGATTTTTATGCCTGTTTTCTGAATACTATTAGGGCTCCAGTTCTTCAATGGGCTTCTCTGCCAAATAGCATATAAAAGCACCAGAAAGACATTTCTGCTCTGAATTGTCCAAGAACTTAAGCCTGTTTTCACCAGGTTAAGCTGGCAGTGAAGTTCAAAGGGCAAGCTGGTTGTGGGAGAGGCACAGGTAGAAGGATGCATGGATGAAGAGACCTGTTAAGCTGACAACTATAGCAGCATATCTGATGATTCAGAATGCTACAGAACACAGCAGTAAAATTTATGTTCATAAAACAGAGGGTTAGAATTAGGGTTGTTTCCAAATTTCTTTGATTGAAATGTCATTCAGAAGGGTATACTAGACCTTCCATATTACGATTTCCAAACTTTATGTCCACTTCTTTCAGTTGTCCCTTTGTTGATAATTTTCCTGTTACCCTTTTCTGCTAGAAACCTTTCTGTTTTGCCCCTGTCATGGCAGACACGTTGTATTGTTCTCGGGGAATACACTGAATTTTTGAACAGGAACTGTCTTAATGTAACTTACTGTCTTGTCTCAGACTTGTTGCTGTGGACCAAAGCAAGGGAACATCCAGTGTCTTTCAATGTGAACACAAATCAGATTAAAATGCAAGGAGGCTTTTATTAAGAATAAAGACTATTTTCCTCTAATCCATTAATGACTTGGCCCAGTGACATCACAGGAGACACAACTGCTGTATGACATCCTTGCCATGCTTCACAGCCTCGTTTAGCTCCAGCATTACCACAGGCTGGAATAGGGAAACACAGCAAGGCCTAGGGACCAGCTGCTGGGGACAAGCTGCCCCTTCCCTACCAGCTGCTCTTCCCCGGGGAACCCACAGCAACCTCCAACCACACTGTTCCCACTGCACTGCTATTTCCACAAGGAAAAAGGAAGCTGTAGGAACCAGAAGTCATCAGCAGAAAATGCAACAGGAACTTTTACAAGTGACAAGAGGGAAACACACAGTCTGTGTCCCGTGGGCTGCAATATGTCGCAGCTACAATAACCTGCAGCAGCAATGACTTTGTTCCAAGCTTGTGTATTTCTGCAAGTAAAACATACCTGTGCATCCAGTGTTGCAATAGCTGCCCAGCCTAATCTGTGCTTCTGGCTGGGAAGGTATACAGAATCAGTCTAGCTCAGTTCCTCCATTCATATTTCACTTGTTTATCAGGAATATAGAAGCTCTTCGTTTGCTGTCATTAGTTACTACTGCTGTTTGTCTGGTCATTGGACGGGAGAAGTCAGGCCCAACACCAAGGGCCCTTTTTAAAGGGCTGATATGGATGTAACACAGGACACATACCAAAAATCGGAGTTTCATTTTGATCGAGGTGCATTACTCTTGTGGTTAACAGCCAAAGTTTTGTCTAAAACAGGCGAAGGACAGAACTGGGAATTGGAACTGTTTTCAGAGAGTTTAAGAATATATATCCTTCTCCATAATCATTACTTTATTTCTTTGTACATTTGGTTGGTGTACCATATAACAAACCCTTGAAGGCTTGGCCGTCCAGAGGCTCCTAAGACCTGCTTTACAATACATTGTGTTTCTAATAAGGTACTTTGTAATCTTGCTAAAGGAGCCAAATGTAGCTCTTCAGGACTTAAATTACAGTCCTACTAAAAGCAAGACAGTTCCTTTGCCTGTTCCTTAGTGACTTCTGAGAGGTTTTCTTCTCTGTTTCAAATAAAAGTTTTCTTTTTCCTCCATTTACTGTCAGTCCCTGTGATCTCAGTTTGGGATTTGATGATGAACCTACATTCTCCTTACACACACAGTGTTTCATGGTCCAAGCGTTGCTTCCAGTCACAACTCATAGATCTCAAATGATATTCAGAGTTGCCTGAAAGGAGTTCTGATATTATCAATTGCACAGGTGTAAGTGATACCATTATCTGAAGCCAGTCCCTACAAGGCTTTCTCTGAAGATAGGCCACTGATTAACTACTTTTTTTTTTTTTTTTTTTTTTTTTTTTTTTTTTTTTTTTTTTTTTTTTTTTTTTAACACTAAAAGCACAAACCAGGAAAAAATCAAGTTCATGTTTCAGAGTTTGGCTGTTTTGGTGAGACAAATGACACCTTGGAACAGCAAATATAAGCAAGTTTTCTTTAAAGCAGTGAGAGGTAAACCCAAATGCAAAGAAAAAATACATCTGCAAGAACTGTGATGTTATTTTACTGCTGAGACATAATAATAATAAATATTTTAAAAGGTTAAACCCTAGTTTATAAATAATAAGATCAAGTTTCAAACACACATTGCCAAACAGCTGCTTGATGCTTTTTTTCCTTCACAGAAAGGTTACTCCATGCATTCAAGAACATGAAGCAAAGGCTCTCCTTACCTGAACACACAGGTTTTAACTGGAGACACTGGCAAGGCAGGTGAGGTTTCACAGATGATTTACTGGGGCCTCAGTGACCAAGGCGGATCAGGGATAACAATCTGGGATCTGCTGCTCTAGATTGATATCACAGTTTCAAAAGAGTACCTTGCAAGAAGCTAAGAGAATCTAAACTTAGGGATAAAGACAATGAAATGTGACATACAGGCTCTCACCCATAGCAGTATTTTCTGGCCATGCAAAGACAGACACCTATGCTGGCAAGTTGACTGTTGTCATGTGGCAGGCAATTTCAGTATTTTCAGCCAAATGGTCCAAGATGGGTTTTACAGTCTTGCCCCTGGAGCAAAGCTGACTTCGCTGGGTCACAGGGAGATGCCAAATATAGTGGTAGAATATGGGACTTGTAGCTTAAGGACTAGAAAACAGCTTCAGTGCTAAATGAGAAAAATTAATCACATACAGCAAAGGGCCCAAGGAGGTAATGTTAGTGCTAGTCTAGTGCTGGGAAGCTGCTGCCTTCTCAGGTACATAGATCTAAGGCTGATGTCTAGGACTGATGCATAAAGGGGTCAGTCTCTCCCAGTAGCTTGCAGAATCCCATTAACACAGATCATGCCCAGCCCTGTGACTGTATATTAAATACACTGCCATAGCAAATGTGGTGGCTTCCTGCAAATACCACCTCTTTGCAGAGTTGTAGAGGGGAAAGGGCAAGAGGATCAGCCAAATTTGGTGGCTCTGAAATGATGGCCTGGCTACTCTGGTGGGCCATAGCAAATTCTCAGAGGCTGCTGTAAGTTAAAGGGTTTTAAACCTGACTGATTAAAATGGGTTATACAGTTCAAGTACATTGTTGCAATTCATAAATTTTCATCGGTGAGTAAGCAGAAGCTTCTTGTAAAAATACTGCTGAAGAAAAATATGCCTAAGCTGAAGAGAGCACATAAACTATGGGACAACCCTGTAATACTTTATTGGCATAAGGAGCCAGACAGTGACGAAATAAGAGGAGACAATTTTCAGGCGAGGATAGACTTCAGAAAGTTTGCGAGTTTAGTCTGTATTTATTTGTCATGAATGTTTGATATTTGATATTCCTATGTTACATCTCAGACATTGCTCACTTATGGCATGCCCCTTAATCGTACAGAGCCTGTATTTTATTTTTATTTTCAATGTAAGTACTTGTGAGGGAACTTAAGGATTTACCCATGACCATGTGTGAAACAGTTTAATACAAAAGCCAGTAAGCCAGTTGAGTTTAATTTCAGAGGCACAGCCTACAGAACTTTTCTGCTGAAATTGTATCTAGTACTACACAAGGACAGCTGACAAACACCTTCCTCGCGGGAGTCTGTGCACCCCTTAGATAAATTGCTGTCTTTCATAGATTAATCAAGTATTTGGAAGAAACTCTTTCAGCTTGCATGGGAAACCGCACACTGTGTTAACTAGGGGATACTTAAACAAACAGCAGGATTCACTTTGGACTTGTAAAACACAAACACTTTAAACATTTTGAAGTAAACCAAAACAAAATAATTTATCAAGTTTTTCATCTTACATTGATACTTTCCCATGCATACATACATACATATCTACATGTACACACAAATGTAGATATATATATATATATACACACACACACATACCTACGCAAAAGTTGAAGCAGCGTACTGATTTTGAGAGGCTATGACTATTCAGGTTCTCTGTGTTACTTAACACACATCAAGCAGAGATCTGACTGATTTATATGAAAATTACACTAAGTCATTCTTCTTTTTACATTGCACTTTGGTGCAACAGTAAGAATCAGTCCCATGGGTAAACTATCAAGGGATCAATTCAAATGATTTCCAGCTCAGCCATAGACTGCATTATCATAGTCCTGTTTTCAGACTGCTCAGCCAATAGCTGATGTCTCTTCAGCTCTATCTGAGGCAAACTAGCTTTATAGCTGAAGGTTTTACGATACAAGTATATCCGAACAAGACAAGGTTGTGCAATGATGACACTGAAGAACCGCTCATTGTATTTTTTACAAATACTTACTCCTCTGAATATGTTAATTTCCTAAGGACACACAGGTCATTACAACAAATAAACAGAATTATATAAAGATAAAAATACCAGGCAAGATGTTACACCTTTATTAGGAGTAGAGGAAGTTTATACTGAATTACCTGGGATATAGCACATAAGCAGGAACTTGAAACCTCATGCAGCAGTTAATCTTTCAATACATTTCTCAAACTATTAAGTTCAGACTAAATTTTGCAATAGAGCTTATCTTGCTGTGCTACTTGCTGCCTGTTTGTGATCACCGACCCTTGTTGTGCCAACTACGGCAGCTGCCACTTTGTAAAACTTACTTTCTATCCGATTTAATACAATGTTTTGATTTGCAAAGCGGGGAGGCCAACAGCATGTAGCTGCTTAGTTCTTGCTAGTTCAGCAGTAGCTCTGCATCACAGTTTTGGATTTCTCTGTCAAAAAACAGTCTTTACCCTAGGGCATGCTTATCTGTGGGAAGGAAAAGAAGGCATGAAAAGTGAGGGAGGGTGAAGGGGAAAACTAGCATAGTCTTACTCTTCCACTCCTGAAGGACAGTGAGACAGGTATAGAGGATACTGAAGGACCATTGTTCTGTACTTTCTTATGCCAGTTTTGGAAAGGGGAGGTTACACAAAAGAGAGAAGGGAAGATGCCTGTGGCTCTGAATTTAACAAAGAAACTCCGGAAAGACTGCAGCAAGAGATCTCTGGATATAACACAGATATCATCTGTGCAATCACATTCCACTTACTACAGGGGCTGACAGAGTTTCTAGAGGGTTTCCAGAGGCTGTCCATTTGGAAGGAGGACAGGTTAAATAGTAACGGTGGGTGAGACCAGCTATGATGGGATGGTTTTCTCTCGAGGGGTTGTGGGTGAGGGTGTGTGTGTTTGTGGGTGGCTATAAATGGTTTTGCAGAGCATTTATTATCATAGAGCATCTGTAGAGCTCTTGACCCTCAATATAACAAGGCCAACCCTCTCAAACAAGTTAGAAACCTGTGGTACAGAAGTGATAAGTCAGCTCAGAGGAAAGGGGTAGGTAGGGATTACAAGAAAGGAAAGATGTCTGCATATGGAGAAGGTAAAAGCCAACAACTCTCTCTACAATCATTTCTCTCATACTGGGTTACAGCAACAAATCTAAAAAGTCAAGACTTAAAAAAGAGGGGAACTCAAAAGCAGGGAAACACAGACAATGCTGAAGATGTTAACAAAATATGTTCCAAAAAGCAATGAAATGTGAAATGCTAGTCTTTTACTTTCCTGTCAGACAGTCTACGCTAGGGAACAACTGCACGGAATGAGCAGAGGCAACCTTCTGCAGTTGTGTGCAGGCTGCTTGTCTGGCTGCGAGGCACCTCTTCCCCCACGCATTACAGTCTGACTTCTTTGGCACTGTCATGGGCAGATGGGAGAACCATGGGATCAAAGCAATGGAGTTTCTCCTGGAAATACTGCAGAGAGAAACCCTCTGCACATGCCACACCCTTAAAGACTGTCCTGTAAACCATAAGAATTGATGTAAATGATTTGCATTAATCTGAAACGATAAGAGAATCAGTCACCTATGTCTCCCAAATGCGTGGTCCCACTACAGAAACCCCACACTCACCTTCCAGAGTCTCACAGCATTTCAAAGTGCAATTTGATGGCAAGTTCAATTGCTTCCTTCAGTTCAGATCTGTCTTGTCACAGACACAGTAGCATCATCCCATTTGTTCCTTGGTGAAATCATGAAACATGGATATTTGTGCTTTAATATTTTCTGAAAAACTGACATTTTACCAGTCATAAATTGGAAAGACAGTTATGCTTTTGCAAACTCAGAATAACTACACCCAGCAAAACTGGATGTATTCTGTAATTACTTACTGTAATCCCAAACACGCAGATCAAGATTAACTATTGAAATGCCAGGCATAAGTTATTCATTAACTAAAACCATTCTGTAATTTTATTGATATATTTTGTGGAGTTCACATATTTTTGTACAGCAAACATAACACTGTAGGCCACAAGAAGCTGCAGCACTATTGTTTAATAGCAGCAAGGTATATTTTATAATCAGGGTATGTGGACAATAAATAGTCTGTTTCTTTGGATGTGAATGTTTAAAATGAAGTTCTGCTGCAGCTTCATAATGTGATTGCTATTTTACAGAGCTTATACACAAAAATATATATGCAATCTTTTTGTCTATATTTTATACAAATACAACAGTAGTTTGTGAATACATTTTAAAGTACATATACATGATAAGCAACTCAATTTCCCATATCACAGGATAGCAAATTTTAAATGCAAGAAACATATACAAATTCAGTCTGGAATGCAGGGTTTTCTGTGTTCTTTTTTTTTTTTTCTCTATTTTTTGACTCAAAATTTTTATCATTAAAAACATTTTAGCAAACAAGTCCAAACAATTTTTCCACTAGCTAAAAATATAATTTCAGCAATCCGACTCAGGTTAGGGTGTGTCATCATTCCCCAATATACTTTTCCCAGTTTTTGTCTAAATCCAAAGGCTTTTAATAATATATAGCATGTTCTTCACTCCACACCATATAAAAAGCCCGCATTTAACATTAACTAGCAGTCACCTATTTTTGTGAACAAGAGCTAGGCTTGTCAGCGTTTAAATTTGCATGTCCAAAATTTTACTTTTGCAAGTGCATATGAATACATTGTGGTGTTGCACAAAGTTCATTAATGACAAATTAAGTCACAGTATAAAAATATATCATACAACTATAGGTCTAGTATAGTCCTCTTTTTCTATGGGTAAAAATACATCTGAATGAGACAGGGAGGTTTGTAGCACCATGAGAGGAGTTGTATCCCAAGTTACATTAGCAGCATGATCCAATATAACAATATTGCAGGAGTGTTTCTGAGGAGATAAACATTCACTCTGGTTCAACTGTACCACTGAAGCTTATACTGAAAAGTGTTTACATATGATTAGCAATAGTTCTGTGTCACTTCCAGGGCTAGATAACTGTTATCAAAAGACACTGCCTTCCAACAAAAGTAAGACACCCTTATTGCATAAAAGCTTTGGGACTACCCAAACACATTTTGAACTACTGTGGCATTACTTGTAAGTTGAGCATGATGCTAAGTAAGCTGTGGTTTTAACTGTACACTGGGAGGATGCAGGATGGACAGCTAAGCCTATACGGTTTACTACATACCAGAGAAGTACATATATTTCAGAGGCTTATCTATAGACTGAGAAGAATACAGGAGAAGCTGCTAAACCAGTGTATGAGACAGACATAACAAAGGATGCAATCCTGCTGCCCTTGACGTTTACGGATGCAGGATCAGGCCCTAAGTTAACTTCAGACAGCAGCATAGCAATGATAGGATATGATAAAAAAAAATCTGTATCAAATACTGCATGTTAAACATTTTTGACATAGTTTACCATCCAGAACTCCAGAGGACACAGTTTGCAAACGGAGAGGACAAACTCCTATTTGTTTTTGACTGGTATTCAAAATGGCAGTAGAAGACAGTGTAGTTTGAAACATGTAAACCTAGTAAAAACCATTGTAAAACCCTTAAGAAAGACACACTGGTTCTGTGCAATATAGCAAATTGATAAGAAAACACTGTAAAAATGTACCTGTTTAAAATTACAATGTCTACCATTTTGTACACAAAGCATTATACCAAAGGCCTACATATATGTAATCTAATGGCACTTGAAACAAATTATAATAAAAGGTTTTATAATAAAAAGCATAACCTGTAAGAAATTTTCTTAAAAGGTTTAGGTTTTCTTTTTGAAAGTGCTATATCTTGTAATATGTGTAACATAGAGGTTGACCAAGCTTTATTTTAAAAAATATTGGCCTATAATACAAGTTTAGCTCACTAGGCAAATGATCCTGAAAATATGTACTCTTAACATTCATTATTAGCTTAATAAAGCAATCAGCTCTGGCTCATGTTTCAGTCAGTATATGGTTTTTAAAAACCGCTACTGCCAAATTAACAATAAATCACTCTATTCCACAATTTACTACTAAATAAAGCACAAGCAACAAGTACACAAAAATATATATATTTAAAAAAAAAAAACAAACAACAAAAAACCAAAAAAAAAAAACAAAACCAAAAACCAAAATAACCTTACTAGAAGTTTAGAAGTTGCACAAAGAGTGGTGCATGATCAGCCAGCCCTCCCCCCTCCCACCAAGAATCCATCGGAAATCAAAAAAACGGAGTTTAAAAACTGATGGTTTAGTAGTGGCCAATATTGACTCTGCCTAAGTGATGCTCAAAAGCACTCCGGTGGCGGTGGTATTGCTTACAGGGTCAGTCTGCTTCCACATTACCCTACATCCTAGTTCAGCCGCAAACATGCCGGGTGCACCCACCCACTGAAACCCTGACTGAATGAGGTTCAATATCTTGTCTGAGGTCCCTATTTCTCAAGTGAAATGTACATCTAACTCCAAAGGGAAACGTCAATCCCTTTTCAGGAAGCTAAGGCACAAATGAAGTAGTAATAAGGGTTCTGGCTACACACTAAGAAACAGGTGTTGGCAAAGTGTCTGTTGGGTTTTGTTTTCTAATGAAGTCTTTTGGCAACTGAGACAAACAGTGGCTACAGATTGGAAATTTGTGAGCCAGAGGCTGCCCAGGATGGGCAGTGCTGCCTGGTCACACTGCTGGGCCAGCTGCAGGATGACAAGCACTTGCAGCTTTCCTCTGCTGCAGGGAGAGTTGCAGATGCTTGGCTCCACATGGGACATAACCCACTGGAGGAATTAAGTCATTTATCTTCATCTCAGATTGATTAAAAAGATTGAGAATAAACCCGAGTTTTTTCTAGATGCATTATAGTTGCTCATTTAGACTAAAGTTACATTCGGTTGCATTCACTTTGTGCTCTGTTCATCTGTTTTTTTCTTTCCTTTAGAAAGGTGAAGGGAAAAAAAAGCAATATTGAACAAATCATTCAACTAAAGATGTAAGTAAGTGAGCAATCTGTTTCACAGAAACCAGAGGAAGCAGTTGTGAAGCAGAGCTAAAAGCCCACTGAGATAATATGCTCCTAACCCCAAAATCTAGGAGTAGTTTGCAGAATTTCAAAAGGTATTTTCCTTATTAATACATCCTTATTTTAATGCCTTTGGAACACAAACACATTTATAAAAATGTTATCTTTCGGTAATAAAATTTAAATACACATATGTATAAAATAGTAAAACTACACCTGCATATTGCTCCTAGAATTAAAAAAAAACAGTAGGAGCTACTGATAAAACATCTGGAGCATGAGCTCCTTAAATGGGAGCAACTTTTGTTTCTGTGAAGTATATTTAGTTTAACCACTTAAAACCTTGTACGAATCTTCATTATTGTTTGAGAGATATTAATGTACTTGATTTCTATTTTTTAATTCCTTGTACAAAAATGACAAGGAAAATAATGTTATTGTTGAATTACAGCAAGTCTAGTTTGCTCTTATGCATCACAGGGTTGGTTGTTTTTTTAGTTTTTTTTTTTTTCCTCTTTTGGTTATTAGGGGTTGGGGAATAGAATATATTGCATTAGGTAAAAGTGGTGTAAGCAATATGCTTTTACTTCACTCCTAAGAGTCCTGTCTTTAAATCTTGGCAACGGGCAAAAAGTCCCTAACCAAGTACCCAGGTGTAGAAAGTGTGATTAACATCTAACTTGTTGCTTAGGAGGACATAACACACCATGTAACACAACTGAAAAGATCATTCCAATAAAAAAAAAAAATCCAAAACAAAAACCTGGTAGTTGCAAATTTACATTCACTCTCTGACTGCACACTAGTTTTGAACTGAAAATAGATACACACTTTCTGGCTGGACTTGATCCACCCTTTGGTGGTGGCAGCTGGGAGAAGACTGATGCCTACAAATGTGAATACACTACTGGAAGATTCCTATGCAGTACTCTTTCTATGCTACTAAAGAGAAAAAACAGCAAGTTAAGAATTAAAACAAAAACTGCGACAAAATATTCTGCATTACTACATTACAACACTTTTATATTTCAAGATCAGCCATTAATTTTGCCTGTTTCCCTATACCAGAGTCATAAAAGCACAACAACACAGTTCCAAATTCAACTTGAAACATTTGTCAACTAGGCAAGCAGAGATTCTCTGTTGAAATTCTATTCAGCCATAATTTTAGAGAAGTAAATTTTTTTTTTGTGTTATCCATAACAGGCCACAAAAATTTAAGCCAGAAAATGGCAAAATTCTTAACAACTTTTATAATGACTTCGATACAAGTCAAAATGCTGTATAAATGTACATGTGTATATATGGACTCCTATATATACACACACAAGTTTTCAGAAAAATCTGAATTCTATATTTATTTAAAAAATTTAGATTTGTCATTATAGAACAGGTCAGATGTGTCACCATATGGGAAGAGGATTTGTTTGGAAATGGACCGGAGATTTTTTTTCCCAAATCTTCAGGAATATTTGTGATACATATTTTAACTGGATTATCTGCAAATAGTAAAATATATTAAAAGTTAAAAGTGGCAGTTCTACCACTGACATCAACAAAATGGAATAACTGGTATGGTTAAAAAACTTCTAAAAAAAGGGATGAGTGTTGAGAGTTTGCTTGGGATGACTTTCTACTGAACATTTTAAATGTGTAAATTGGCAGTGAATATGAAAACAATACAATGAGACTGTTTAAAAAAAAAAAAAAAAACAAACCAAAAACCAAAGTAAACACAGCTGAGAATAAACACTTTCAAAACATTTTAAAAAAGTTAATTTAAATTTCTTACTGGCTTCATGAGATTGGTACTGTACAAAAGCAGAGAATTTATAATGTCTTATAGTAGGCACTAAGTTAAAAATGGTCACCTAAGGCATTTCTACAAATAGACAGTAACAAGCCAGCTTTGTACATCCTATTGGAAAGCTTGATGAAATCGTGGTAGGGTGGTGGTTGTGCTTAGACTGCTTGTGAAAGCTGCTGACAATGAGTGCAGAGACCCAAGACCTATACTATTGCTAGGATCTTGTGGATCCTGGGTTTGTGGTGGAAGTTGAGTCATAGAAGAATGTGCCTCTTCTTGTGTATAACTCATTCCGAGGTTTCCCACTGAAACAGAAGGAGTATAGGGAGGGCCATTTACAGGTATGAAGTTGAACAGCTGAGAAAAGTCCAATGATGGGGCGTTTAGAGGTTCACTAATAGGAACAGAGCCCTTGGAAAGGGAAACTTCCCCAGACCCATCATCTAGTGGCCCTACTTGTGGATCCAGCCCTAGTTTTGATGAAGATGCTTGAGAATCCTGGGATGAAGAAGGCATACCACTTTGCAACTCCATTAAGTAACTTTCAATTTCCCCTTTCAATGGCTGTTCTTTTTCAGGCATAGAAATTGCGTATGAGGTAGTACCGAGCGGATATTTCAATGATAGCTGGTGAGAAGGGTGGACAGACTCCATATCTATCGGACAAGGCATTCCCAATGGTAACGATGTGGCAACCATTTGGTGTGCAGATGCAGAACTCTGCATGGACTGAATCTGAGTGTTGTAGAGATTTAATTGCAAAGTGTTTGTAAATGGCTTTGATGTCAGTTCACTGGAAGGTAAAGACATCACTGGAAGCAGCTCATCCTTAACAGGCACAGAAACATTGCAGGTAAAGGGATCTAGAAGGTCCATTGGCTCTGTTTTGACCTTCAGAAGTTCTTGGTTGTGACTTTTCTTCATGTGGCGTGTGAGGTGATCCTTCCGCCCAAATCTCTGTGCACAGTATTGACAGAGGAAGTCCTTTCTTCCAGTGTGCACTACCATGTGTCTGCGGACATCCTTTCGGGTGTAGAACCGACGATCACAGTGTTCACACTGGTGTTTTTTCTCCTTCACTCCACCCGATGACTTGCCTGCATGAGTTTTTAGGTGCTCCAACAGCACTCCTGTGCTTTCAAAAGTCTGCAAACATACCTTACAGGTGAGGTCACCACTTGTTGCAGCATGCAAAGCCAGGTGACGTTTGAACCCAAGCTTGGTATTGTAGTTCTTTCCACATTCTTCACACTTAAAGGCCTCTTTGTTGGGATTGTGTGTATGTAGGTGATTCTTTAGGTGATCTTTTCGGTGAAACATTTTCTCACAATAATTACACTTGTGGGTTTTCTCAGGAGAATGAGTAGCCATATGCCTTTAAACACAGATATATTCTGTAAGTAATTATTTTGATCAAAAAACATGTGCTCATTTTTTAATGGCAGCTAAATACTACACTAAGGACTGCTTTGCAACAGAACCTTTTAACTGAAAGCATGACACTACAAAGACATTTTGACAAATTTAAATATAGCAAAACGCGAGCCATTTCTCTTAAATTGACACTTTAGTTTTGGTGGGTTTTAGCTACTGTAACAGGGGTATATGGGCAAGTATGAAAGTACTCGTGTAAAAGTCCATAGCCAAAGAACTTTCAGTCCATACTCTTTTTCTTGTGACAATTCCTTACACAAAGGAAAATTCTACGCTCATTAAAAACAAAACAAAACAAAACAAAAACAAACAGAAAACAAAAGCAGAAAACAAATTAAGAAACAAAATCAAAGACATTAGCTTGCAAACTTAGGTAATTTAGAATTCTAGAAACAATCCAATGGCTACTTTAATTAACACATCCTCTCTGCAATCAGCTGAAGGCGTACAGAAATATATACTTTTACACGGCTTAACACGGCCAACATAAAATAGATAATATAATCTGAAAGATAAATAGAGTTTAATACCTTAGTAATTTGTACTTAGAAACAAAGGCCTTGGTGCAGTCTTGTTGTGTGCACTTGTAGGGCCTCTCTCCTGTGTGAGAGTATGAGTGAACCTTTAATTTCTCAACACTGTTAAAGGCCTTGTCACACAGTTGGCAAGGAAAGTTTTTTCTTGGTTTGGTTTCACCACGCTTACGTTTCCCTGAAGGGACTTTCTGGGTATCTCTTACTTCTGACAAATCACCAGGAATGACAGTGGCCATCGCAGCCTAAACCAGGCCTTCTTGTTGGACACTTGGGAATTGCCCAACTCCACTAAATGATTTAGCTTTAGATGGCTTCTCAAGTTTCATGTGGTCGTAAAAGAAAGCAAAAGGGGACTGGAAAAAAAAAATAAGAAACAACTAGTTTGTAACTAAACTTAGATTTTGAAGTTTACTTGCTATGTGATGCTTCTGAATAAAACTTAAAAATAAAATTAGGTTCAGCTGGTCTAATGTAATACCTGCAGGTTTCTTTATACTATTTGCTGCAACTCTTAAAACGCATTGCTCAGGATGAACAGATCCACATATGCCCTGAAATCACACCTCACCTCTCCCTCAAACACTGATGGAGAACAGCAAAGTTTCTGTCAGATTAAGGGAGGCATGAGGCAAAGAACCTACCTACCCAGGCACCTTTTGGCAGCTTCGGATTTCAAAGGAATAACAGCCGCGCCTGTGGTGTTTATACAGACATCCGCACGCAGGCACACACCCATGCACGCAGCTATCAAAGTGGAAATCTGTAAGCCTCAAAATATTTGAAAACCTGCACAAAACACAGCAGTACCCATGCTGACAGTATGGGGGACAAAGCTTGTGTTCTCCCTCAGGCGTACCTCCCCCCTGTGATCGCTGACGTCTATGCACCCACTCTAGCAAAATGCACGCATTGCCAATGATGGCTAATGCCAGGTGAAATTCTCCTGTTAACTTGCCCTCTGCAAACGGACTTGATGTATTGACAACAGAAATCCCATGGGTTAGAGACAGATTATCAGCCAGCACTGGAGACCCCCACCCTCCTCATGCTATCCTGCGAGACATGAGGGCTCTAAGTGTTCTGACTCAGGCCAGCTCAGGATGGAAGCTCCTAGTCCTGCCCCTGTGGCATGGCAAACTGTGAACTAAATCAGAGGTTTTCAGTGTCAGGAGGTGTATGACGTGACCTTCGTGTCTGACTTGTGGGTAAACAGCTTTAAATTCATCATCTGGTATCATATAGTGGCAAATGGGCACCTGCCATCACAGGGCACTCAACATCACAGCCCTCCTTTGTCAGCGGTGGCTGACAGCTTTTCCTCATCATCGGAGCACAACTGCTACTACAGATACCAAACCCCAGTGCTACCAGTTGTGGTAAGGGTGGAGCGCGAGGTCTGCAGCAGCAGGGGCAAGGAGGACAGCAGGAGGACAGCACTCAACGCAAGCGTTTGGCAGGGTTGGAAAGCCCCAAAATTTGGCCTCTCTCCCTCAAAAGTGCCACCACCCACCCCCTGGCCCCGGTGTCAGGGCTGGCAGCTGCTGTCCACTCTGGTCTCTGCCGGGGCAGCTGCGCGAGAAGCGGCCGGGCTGGGCGGCACCAGGGCCAGGCTGCAGCCGGGCCAGGGCTCGGCAGCCAGGCACCGCCACAGCCCCCAGCAGCAGGGCTGGGGAAGCCGCAGCTGCTGGGACAGGTGGAGCTGGGCAGCTGGGAGCTGGGCAGGCACCATCAGGCTGCAGCTGCTCCAGCCCAGCGCCACCTCCCTGAAAAACAAACCGGGCTCTTCCCTGCTGGCAGCAAGGGAGGATGGATAGCTGGGAGGGAGCCTGGGCCTGGCTTAGCTGTCCTCTCCATTGCTGAGGGTCAGCAGAGATGGAGTCAATTGCCCAAGAGGGGAGTGGAGAGCAGCGCCCAGTTGCACAGGGGCAAAACTACAGAGTCGTTGCAAGAGCCCCAGCGTGGTCCTGGAAGAAAGCGAGAAGGAAGGAGAGCCTGTGTTTTCCTCAATGCATGCCAGGACAGGAAGGCTGAAGGAGCAGGGAGAGGGAGAAGGGGATGTGCCTCTTTAATGTCTGCATTTTATGAAATCTTCAGACTGAGATCTCCACTGGAAATGTGTACACAGACTATGTCTTTATCTATGCCTTTTCCTCCCACCTCCCTGTAACTTTTCCCTTGTCTTTAGAAGAGGAGAGAAGTACCGGCACACCAAGATGAAAATCTGCTTCCTTTCAACCCTGAAGTCCTTGAATGACAGGTTAAACTATGCTACCTTGTTTAAGCAAGTAGTTTTGTAAAACCACCTTTAATCCCTCAAATTTTATAAGGAAACACTAACCTCTTTAAAGATACCCAATGACAGAAAAGGTGTTTCTTTAGGGACTCTTATGATTTCAGACTTGTCTAGGACTCATTCCCACTCGTGGGACGAAGTCTGGAGACATCAGTTCCATGAGTGGGAACGTGCACAGGTCTTCAAAGTATCAGCTTAATTTTATTTTCTGTCTCATAATCAACTATCTAGTTCGTAACTGAAAAAGTGAAACATTGTTTGGAGACTTGGCAGCAATAATTTTCTTCAATAAAAGTAAATGAAGATCAGTTGCAAAATACTTCAATAAAGCCACCAATGTAACCAAAAGGAGGGTCTGATTCACATCAAAGTTGTGACATATTTGTGGACTGAAAGATACTTTTTTTTTCAATATAAGCTTTAATTAGAATCTGGTAATAAAATGAATTTTGCTTTTCTGTTAACAAACACACTGGTCTTTAACACACATTGGCCTGAATGTAGAATGAAATTTTGTTTTAGCCTAATCTCTCCTGACCTATGAAATTCAGGAGGGAGAAAAAAAATTCAACTCGATCTCCACTCACAAGGCTTTTTTTATACCATGCAGGCACCTGTATGAGACCCACCACACAGAGCCAGCACAGCAGCCATGCCCTCACTGCATAGCTAGGGCACTTATAGCCTCAAGAGGGTTAAGAAGGCACTCTGGCTCCTTTTGCCTCCCTGCCAAATCCACACCGAGCCTGAGATAGGGCAGTCAGCATTTGCATCAAAGGGCAAGGCAACTGCCTCCACAGGCTGCTGCAGGGGAGCGTGGCTACTTTGACCATGCCGAGTCCAGAATTCAGCAGCAAGTGGACTCTGTGCCCAGCCAGTGACAAGGGAAGCAGGCACAGCAGGCAAGATACAGGCAGGGAGGATGAGCTGCGGCAGGGAGGGACAGCGGTCAGAACCAGGATGGGGCTGTGGGGCTAGGGAGGTACAGCGAATCCTGCACAGGGGTTGGAAATATCTAAGGACATGTGGATAGGGGTGAGGTGGTAATGCTGAGGGCTGGTAAGGAGGAACTTAACGTGCATCAAGCTGGGGAGATGCAGGATACGAGGCCACGCAGAAGGGTGATCTGCAGGGTCTGTTGTGAGGTCAAAAGCAGTGTTTGTTGTGGAACAGCATATTAAGCTTAACTGTTAAAATTAACAACTGACAACTTCTCACTTCTTTTCTCAATGCAAAGATCACACCTCAGGCTGGAGGCCATCCTATATTCAGGCCAATATAACATTTTGTTTTCTTCTCCAAAACTTCAGGTAATCTGCTGTACCAGAAGTAAGTCAGAACATTCACAGGGATGAAGAATTTGGGTTTTGTTCCTCTATGATCAAAACGAATTAAGCTGACTTTGAACTGTGTATAAGTGTCCTTAAAAATGCATCAATTAGAACAAATATAGTGTGGATCCAATCTTTGACAACGACAGTGTTTTATTAAAAACCACGTACGCACTATTATCTCAGTACCATTTCTCAACAGTTGAAGCAATTAAAAACTTTAGTATTGATCTCTGAATAGCAAATAACCATTTTTTTTTGTGTGGATATACAGACTGAGCAATGGAGATAAAACTTTAAAAAACACTGATCCTCAAATATTAAATTTTTCAAAGACCAGCTGAAAGAATTTTATGAGTAATATTGCCTGTTTGTGCCTCAACATATTATCACTTAAAAATCCCCATTCTTACTGGTGCTTTCACAACTGCAGGATGAATGATTATATGCAGTATCAAATAACAAACACATTACACAAAAGCTCATATATAATACTATTTTTTAAATAAGCATATACTTAAAGCAGGATTAAAGCAGCCTCTGTTCAATGCACACCTGATGTTTGCCCACTAAAGTCCTCAGATTTTGCTCTTAACCAGTTCCGCTGACTCTTCTTGGAGGAAACCAGAATCCAGTACTTCCCATTTTTACTGGTCTGAAAAACAAAAGGAAGAATGGACTAGACTCCAGGGAAACCAGTATGTTCATAAAGGCTGGGATGTGACAAGACCAGGAATTGGAAAGAATCGGAAAGGAAAAGTTAAAAGGGATAGATCCAACCCATGCACGGAACATTATATACTGTTAATTATAAACTTTAGGAATCATTCTCGCATTATCAGTAGCAATTATGCACTTCAATTTGCAGTATACTTACATAATTTCAACTAACGCTATGCTGGACAGTGACACATAAAGAGATAAAATTAGGCAAAAGCAAAGGAGTTGTTGTCATGAAGTTAAAACAAAACAAAAATAATCCACAGACCACAAATAATTTAGAAGTAACAGCAAAAACCATAAAATGCTGGGCCCAGACTTGAGTTTTTTACTCAGAAAGGACAGAGTAAGAGAAGATTCTGGATTAGGCCCAACTTTACTAGAACCTAATGCCTTCATTCTGCTTAATTATACAGGAAATAGCAGCTTAAAATGTGACCTGCAAAGGAAAATAAAATTAATTTAAAAAATAATAATAAAACCTCTTAATGATGTACATGCTACAGGTAAATCCCAATAGAGGGCAAGTCTAAGTATGCCTGAGCAAACCAAGAGGGTTTTTCTGGAATTTCTCTTACATCTCCCTTTTCCCTGCCACCATAATTTTGTAAATTTGCAGCAGGTCTTCCTTTTCTTCCTAGAAGGCCTCCTGAATGACACAGGTATACACGTTCAGTGCCTCATTGTAATGGGGAGGTTTATCCTGTCCAGCTCTTCCAGATATATAAGGGCGAAGCTCTATACAGTGCACATACCCCACGTGGCATAGCAGGCTGAAGTTATTTGGCAGGAGCCCCAGAGTAATGTAACATTTCCCCACAGACAAGCCATTTTCCCTTCTTGCTTCCCATTCATTCTAGAAAGCATTCTTCCTTTTGATACCAAGTTCAGCTTCGCACAGCCCCAGCCTCCTCTGTTGGTAAGAATGAACATGAGTAAACAGGTGTCCTTGAACACCTATTAATGTCAAAAGGGCTTCAGAGCAGCCGACTGAAGCTCTCTGAGACCCAAGGAGCATTTATCCAGGGCTTTGTACACACAGGCAAGAGGCAGAAACAGCTCCAGTACCCAAAGAAAAAGTGGAAGTTCTGTTTTCAACTAATAAGCACAACCCTCACCTCCTCTTTTGGGAGTCCCCAAATCACCTTGTTTAAGGGAGAAAATGCTGACCCCCTCTCTCAGCAAGACCCTTATAAATCAGTTACCCTGCAGTGCCTATCTCAACATCTTCCACTATTGCAGCAGAAAGGAAGAGTTTCATTCCCCAGATGTTTCTGCTAATGTAGTTCACAATAAGGAGACAATATTTAAGACAGCCACATAAATGTAACACACTAAGTTCTCATGAAGAACATAATACAAATACACTATTTGTATTTACAGATTATTTCTTATTCAGGGAAAGAAAACACAACAAAAAAAACGAAGAAATCCTATCTAAAATATTATAAAGCCCTCTCAACAGCATTTAACATTTTCTCTTAAATGCTTATAGTCCTCAATGTTCACCATACATCTAAAGTTACTCTAGCAAAAAGCACAGGCTCTCAGAAACAGGCCACTAGAGGCATGGAAAGACTACTGAATCAGGGGAAACAAAAGCAATTGGAACAAATAAATAAGCAAGATAAACACCAGATGTAGCAAAAATGCTGAAGAGAATGAAGGAGGACAGTCAGGTACTCTTATTTATTACCTTACAAATACAGCAAAATCACAATGCAGAGGATTCAGATGAGAGCACTGCTATACCTACATTAGCTGGGATCTCAACTTCTACAAGACCATTAGCAGGTAAAGAGCTTAACAACATACACATAAAAGGGGATAAGTTTGTATGAATAATGAAAACATTTACTACATTTGACAGGATTAAGTGAAAAGATAAAATAACATAATTCCTATGCTTTGCAGCAATAAATATGCTATTGGAGAAAAGATATTTCCTTATGCACAGAATACAAAAGCTGTCCATGATAATGCCCATTTTTAGACCACCTTTCTCAGAAGCTTTTGGTGTTAGAAAATCTCTGAGGCAGAATACTGGACAAAGATGTACGATTCTCCTTGTAACTTCTTAGAGTCATATTGTTCTAAGCTTCTTCTCAATTACTAGATGAGGTAGGAAGAATTTTTAATGAATAACAAAACTCAGATTATTCTCCACATGAAGCGGAGAAGCATCACACTCTAAAATGCATTGTCACATGCACATACCCAAAGCTCACTTAGGTACTAGTAGCAAAATATGACTTCCATAATTTGTCAGAATTCTTAGAATTTACCAGAACTTCCAGTATCTGTGAGGCACTAATTTTGCTAACTTTCCAAACACGCAGATAATTCCAGATTAGACAATATTTGAATTTCTACCATATAAGGAGTGAAAACAAAAAGCCCCAAAACCCTAATAAAGAAGATAGATCATATAAAATATAAATATAAAATAATTTATTCTTTTTAATAATAAAAAGTAACCTTTTTTCAAAATTCACAGATGGTATTTAAGAATCTGAGAAAATAGCTGCACTTGAAAATTTTTTAAAACATTTGATATCTCAGCTAAAAGGATAATGAAGACATTACACAAATATAATCAATAAGCCTCCTCCTAACTTGCATATCATACATAAGAGTGTTCAAGTACAGTAAAGGAAAGCAAGTTTCATGGTTATTTTCTTTCAAAATAAAAGAGCAATAATGAGAACACAGTACTGAGAATGCAGTATCTGTCATTTTGCCTTTTATATAAAACAGCAAATCTAGTTTCAATTCCTGAAATCGATCAGTTTTAAACCAGAGGAAGGATCCTAGAAACATTAGAGTCATAATAATGGTAGAACTCAATAAGGATTTAATAGTATTACAGAGTCATCCCAGGGTTTAAAAATTTCTTTAGGAAACAAAAAGAAAAGCGGTTACTTACCCTATGAAAACTGTGATTCTTTAAGAAGTGCTGTCCGCACAGATCCCAGGTGAGCACGTACTCACATGGACAGGATCAAGTCCTCTGAAGACATTATGTCCATCCAGGCAGTGGTGTAAGGCTAAGGACTCCCCAGCAGTGCCACACACACCATCGCACCCCCCAACGCGCTCTGCAGCAGTGGCAGCTCCCACTCTGCTCCTCACTCACACCATGGGGCAAAAGCCAATCACAGACACCACTGCCATCACTGTGCTGCCTCAGGAAGTGGCAACCTCCCTCTTCTGTGGCTGCTGTAGTCCTGCTGCTCCCAAGCCTGTGTTCCCATCTCAGGGGGTCAGGTGATGATGGGAATTGAGCTGGCAAGGTTTGTTGTGGCTGATGAAAGGTCACAGGAGAGAAACATGTGGGCAAAAGTTGATATCCTAGTTGGAAGTGTGGTGAAAGGTTTGGAAAGCTGAAACACAGACTGGCATTCTGGTTTAGGAAGAAGGATGAACAAATGCAGCCCAAGGCAGCAAGGAGTTGCTGCTGCTCAGGGTAGTAATGGAGCAAACAAAGCTCAGGATCCTCCAGTCTAACCTCACTCAGGTTTGCCAACAGTAAAGAGTCATTTCAGAGTGAAGGACAATAGATGACTTGTGGTGCCTCTATTGCAAATGTACCTGGAAGAGCCACCATTACTGCAGCGTAAGTAATTTTCCTCTTTTCTGGATCAGGTCTAAAGAGTACTGACTAGCAGTCACCTGACCATAAAAAGTACTGACAGACGACACCTGCTCTGTCTGAGCAGTCAGGGATAGCTGGGGGAGCTGAGTTGGTGAAAGAGTCAGCAAGAGACAGCTGATTTAGCCACTTACTGTGGCTCAGAAGAGCCAAAGTGACAGACAGCACCTCCATTTACAGAGTGGCAGACTCTGGAACACATTGCCCAGAGAAGTCAGATGCCTCATCCCTGGGAGTGTTCAAGACCAGGTTGGATGGGGCTTTGAGGGTCTAGTGGAAGGTGTCCCTGCCTGTGGCATGAAAATTGGAATTAGACAATCTTCAACGTCCCTTCCAACACAAACCAATCTATGATTCCAACTACAAATCTCATCATGTCTGCCCTCTCAGTCAGGGCTGTTAAAATGGCACAAATGTCTCCAGAGCTCCTGAAGATGAAGGAATCTAACCTGCTCAGGAAACTGAAGAAGGAGCACCATTTAGCCTCCTCTGGCTTTCCTTGTGCTGTGGACTTACACACAGGACTCTCAATAGGCAGTTCCACTCGTGGAGATGCAGATTTAATCCTCCTTTCCGGCGGATTGAGGGGGATGGGGGAGACCTCCAGGCCTTAAGCTGCTTGCCCCATTACCTGCGAGGTGAATGCCCCTCCCCCCACCCCTGCACGTGGCCCGGTGACCCCGCAAGGAGCACACACAGATCACCAGGGAGGGACGGAGGAAAGAGGAAGTTTATTGTGGGGTTGGGGTTTATAAGGCTTTTAGGAAGGTCAACGGGGGCCAATCACAAGTTCAGGGTCACACAAAAGAAACCATCAGGTAAGGGGTCAACAGCCAATAGGAAAGGGTTAACAAGGACCAATGGGACACCTCGGGACACCTTCCCAGGACACCTTGTATGGGAGACAATAGCTTCACAGGGGGTGTCTGGGAGACAGTGACACTGCAGAAAATACACAAACATGTTGAAACATGTTTAAACTACAGTAAAAACTTCTGTTTCCATAAGGTTAGAGCTGTTTTCCTCACCAGTCCATCTCTGGTAGGACTTTTTCCATCCTGCATATGACAAATTCATTGCCACACTCTTTCCTTCAGACACCTCAGCTGATAAAGCTGTTGGAAGGGGTTGAGGGCATAAGTGGCAAAGTGCCTGCACTGCTCCAGGACAGCATGCTGGGACCTGCAGCCCTGCAAGGCTCAGACACCCTCCCTGGATCAACAAGGATCAACGTGCCTATTGCACACTTGTACAGACCTCAGAGAGAGAGCAGAAGGTCTGAC